TGCTGAAGCACCTACAGATAATTGCATAAATTGGAAAGGTGTGTGGAAAAGTAAATATAAAACCAACAACCTAGTCCTAACAACAGAAAGAAAATAAACTTCAGTGCTCTATTTCATGAGAAGACAAAGGAGAAGAGGTGTCATTATATAACTAAAGAAATTAGCAATTAATTACCACAATAAATAAACTGAAACACTTAAAACTTCAAAAAGAAAAGGTCAAAATAACCAGTAAACAAGGTGTCTGATTTGCAAAAAACTGAAATTTAATATGAATGAATCCTAGATAACCAGTATCGGGATTTAGAACGTACTCTCCAAGGTTACCACTAAAAACACCAGACTCCCTCAACTTCATTTCCTCTTCTCGCAGCTGGTCTACATTATGCTTCTCTCTGTATAGTTTATAAAATTCTCGTAAGAGAGTAATGTCCCGGCTTCTGTCAATAATTCCACCCTCCCTCTTTGCTAGCTTTTGCTGCAAAAGTTAGTAAGAAGCACATTGCACATGAGATCCTTGTAGAAACTCACTATAGAAGACTAAAGTGCAGCCGCATAATTATTAATAGTGAAAAGCAGGGGATGTAAACGGATATGTGCATGATTCCAAAAAAATAAAAAAATCAGAAACCATGCCATTTATTGCCAATAATAATGAATTTTAAAAGAGTTTAAAACCAATGAAACTCTTCTTCTTCACGTGTCCGATACATATTGGAAATTTAAAATTTTAAAAAAATAAAAAATACGTATCCAGTATGTATTAGACCCTGTCCAAGTGTATCCAAACTTAGATACGTTTTCGAATACGGGTAGGAAAAAGTTTACAAATATTCGGGCTTCTTAGACCGTAATACAGCTATCAAGAAACACATTGTTTTGTTGATGGTGAAAAACAATATATGGTCATCTCATCCAATCTCATCTTAAAAGATACCTTGATTATAGACATTAAACCAGTCTTGAACTGTAATACTCCCCTTCCCTCGCTATTTGGATCCAGATTTTGAGCCAAGGAATATGCATGTTCACATACTGAAACAGGAAAGAAAACAAAAAATCCACAATTAAGATTGCAGTTAAATAAAGGCAGCCACCATTACGCAAAATACCATCTCCGCTATTATGCAACAAGGGCATCTGGCCTGCATGAAACACTCTTGTACCTTGTTCTTCAGTTTAATTTCATGATGCTGCTCTATCATCACAAGCTTATTCCAAGTTTTAGCTCATTACATCAGTACTGACCAGTATTCGCAATACTTTGCAAGGTTTTGTACAAAGAGGCACCAAGAGACTTTCCAGGATCAAATTATGTCAGCACGTTTGATATGGGATGGTGCTATACATTTGATATCTCTTTTGGGAGTCTTTGTATTGTTGGTAAGTGGGCATGGGGATGGATATCTGATTGCTACACCAATAGTTCACATCATTCCTATTTTAGGAATGACAATAGGTGTACAAAGCAACCTGCTTCCTAGGCAACAAAGATGCCCGTTTCCCACGGTTTTTTGTTATCCTTTTACAACTAATTTTGCTTATGAAAAGAGGATCTTCTTTAGATGGATTTCTCTTCCTTCAATTAGAATCTTTTCTACCTTACAAAAATCTTTTAAAATCCAAAACAGCGAATTCCTTAATATTGTATCCAAATATGGAATGAAATACGTCCATGCCAAATATAAATGGCACATTTCATTGCAGCTTAGGTTATACCATATAAGACAGATAGCTCACAACTCTTACACTTGCAAGAACTTTAAAGTATTATACACACAACAGATTAAAATAAAATTTTCTGTATTCCTTTTCATCTCATGTCAAGCATGGCCAAGTTCAGTAAAATTATAGAATTGATGGTGGAAGAATCAAAAGTCAAATTCATTTATAAATGACATCATCTTCAATGCCATTAAAATGCTCCAGGATTTAGCCACTTGTCAAAAATACTATCTTTCTGCATATCTTCTCCACTCTAGTAATTCCTCCTATATATTAACAAAGTTCCATCAACCATGCTAGCAACTATCTGTCCCATCTTTCAGAATTTCTTCTTCCTTCAACTTATATATTTTGTTGGATTCCAGCAATTAATGTTAGCAGCTATCCAACAATCAACGGTAAAGATGCTTCATACATACTGTAAGGAGCTTATCCAAACTGTCTTTTATTTTCAGTTGATTTTAGGAGAGCAATGGACATTGACTATGTACACTGTATGGATAGTGTATACAACCTTTTTTTCTACAAAACAGAAATAGATATCTCTCATCCTAGTTAAAGGAAACTATTAAAAACAAAATGGACCTCAGAACTATCTTAAGAAATCAGAAAACATAAACTCCATTGACGAAAGAAATAAAACTCAAAAAGGGAGCACATACGAATTCTGGAAACATTAGGATCATCATCTTGAATCTCGTCTGCAGCCCTCAGAATGTCATCTATGTCCTTGTTTGCAAGTGAGGACGGAACAATTGCAGCAAGGCCAGCCTCAGGTCGTCCATAAAAACCTCCACCTGTCCTTTCCCTCCGAAGTGCCGCACGCACTAGACGCTCCCATGAGTCCTCCACTTGAGACATCTCCTGATTTGTGACCACAAGTTAAATAAGGAATTAATTTAAGTTAAAGCGAGGTACTTAGTAAAGATATTCAAATAAAGCAACTCAAATGCAACAATAGACAAAATAATTAATATGATTGTAAATTATTTACAAGATAAAAAATTGTGTTCATGTAAGGGAATAAAAGACATGACATCCTTCCCAAATATCTTTGAAAACTTAAAAGGATAAAAAAAAAAAAAAATCTATTATATAGGCCAGGACAATTAAGAATTTACTCAAGCTGTGAAAATGAAAAATCAGAACACTAATTCATTAATCATTATTTTCTCTTTTTCCAACTTTAGTATACTCAGAAACATCATTTGAAACTGAAATTATGACTTAATTTCTAAATTAATTCATTTCCTCAGTAATTCATTTAACCAACCTAATGAACATTTGTTTACACAAAAATTCAGAAGTCAACAGAAAAAGTTCATCAGACGAGTTTTAATGTATACATATGCACACACACGTATATGTAATTATATATACAGAGAGAGAGTTGAAAATGAAGCTCACCGGATAGGAGATCTCGCCAGAAACTCTCCGATACGACGAAGAAACAACCTCTTTATATACTCTCTATGTATAAATTTGTTTGAATTGAGCAGAAAGGGAGAGATAAACCCTAGAAATTTGCAATTTGAAAGGTTTGTATAATTGGATGGCGTTCTTCGAAATGAAAATAAAAGATTGCAAAATAGCTTTAAGAGAGTTGGGTTGTTTATTGGGGGAAGTATGGGCTCGAAAGTCGAATCTAGGATGTGAACAGGGGGAATAATTGACCCGTTCTTTCTGTGCAATTGTATACTTTTGAACTGAAATTGTTTTAAATATTGAGGGTTCAATAGTAGAAGCCGAATAATGGTTGGGGGCATTAGTTATGCAATGCTAGTTCGAACAGCAAGAAATTTTACTGAGGGAACTTGAGGGGAAGAGTATGTGGTGGTCTCTTCGTGGCAGTGTGTGAGTGGTGTTTGAAATGTATGTCTTACGCGGTTTAAGAAAATTAAAGTGAGATCGGGAACCCTTTTTGTACGTTCTTTTTGCCATTTTTGCTTTGCTTAATCGATGGGGTTTTGAATTACGAGACAAATTTGCACTTTGCCCCCTTTAGTTTAGGTTTTGTGTCAATTTACTCCTTAAAGTTCGATAAAAAAAAAAATCAAATCAGCACGTTAGCCTCCTTTTGAAACCAATCACAAATTCGATTAAAGTCAAACACTAATTCAAGAGTAATACTAATGTGACATTAAATGAGATGTATAATTAAATATATCACTTAATTCTACATTTCATTAAATTTATCACTTAACGCCTATTTCACACATTTGATATGATTCGTCACTATCAAATTGACCATGGTGTTGTGTTTAGGTAGGTAAAAATGTGTTTTCAATGTTGAAGGAATTTCTATAGGCTCCAGCAAGGTTTGAAATTGAATCAAAATGGCAAAGTCACTCTAGCTCCAGAAGGGTTTAAAGGAAAGCAAAGACGATGCCTAGACATTCCTTCAGCTCAGACAGAAGAATTATACGACATCATGCACCGCGAGGTAAACATGAATTCAGTTCTTCATCTTTTGTTAAAAGGACTGAGAGGAAAAGATCTGATACCCCTCAAGAGATGAATTTTCAAGGAGTTGTAGCCTTAAAGGTAGGATTCAAGGTAAAATCATAATAGAAGGAAGAAGATAGATTGAGAATCAAAGACAAAAAATCGTGTGGAACTCAAAAGAAGAGGTCGTAAAAATTCATGGGAAGCCAATATATTTGAGGTTATACGAGGGTTGAAGCACCTTCTTTCTCTGTTCAACCAATGCAACAGCGAGATCTTTCTTACCGCAGTCAGTGGTCAGCAAGGGATATTTAGAACATTCACATAAAGTCGGGAATGAAGTCAAAGTTCACGAGGCATAGGATTTTGAGATAAACACAATAAACTCGAATGGTACTCATCCAGAAGACGAGCACTAGATGTCGAACCATTAATAAGAGATATAAATTTTATTGCTAATTATAGAAATCTAGATTTTCACGATAATAAGTGCAATTGGTCTTCCATGCTATAACGTTCTGTTTTTTCTTTTCTTTTTTCAACTTTAGTCTTCGTCCTTAATTGTTTCAATCAATTTATCATGAAAATTCAATTCGAAAAGGGCTAATCACTTTTCTTCCATTAAACCAATATTTAATAGCAATTCAAAATCACATATGTCGACAAGTTAACATTCTTCACAAGCACACCAAGACATAACAGATCTTCTGTGGAGATAAAACACTAACTCGAGGACACATTTTGTCAAAGGAAAAGAAATTTGATTTTCCTCACTCCATACAACATGCTAAAGACACAATTTCATAGTACTAATCATATTTTTATTGTCTTCAAAACTTGTTCTTATACCAGAAAACACCCTTGTTTGGTTCGTCTGGCTCGACATAAAGGCACTCCTTCGCCTCTCTCCACATAGCCTTGTAAAACGGAGTTCCATCAAACTGATAGTATTCACCTAATAGTGGCTTAATTGCTTTAGTTACCTCCATTGCATGATAGTGTGGCACTGTTGAGAAGAGGTGATGAGCCACGTGAGTATCAGTAATATTGTGGAAAACCTTATTCAGCACGCCATAATCTCGATCAACAGTTGACAAAGCACCCCTCAGCCAATCCCATTCGGAAGAATCATAACGTGGCAATGAAGGGTGTGTGTGCTGCAGATATGTAATTAAGACAAGGAAGCCATTCACAACGAGTAACGGTACTCCGTAGATGCATGTAAGCCAAACAAGTCCTTGGTCCAAAGCAAGGCGGTAAAGGATGTATGTTGTGGCGATGACGCCCACATCAGAAATGTAGATTTGAAGTCGTTCACGGTCATTATAAATTGGGCCGTATGGATCATAGTGGCAGGCGAAACGATCATAAGGCCGGCCTGAAACGTTTAAGGCCAAGTATAAAGGCCAGCCGAGTGTAAGGGTGACAACAAGTGTCATGACTCGTCCTGGTGGATTGTTCAAGTATTTGGAGAACCACGAGAGTTCGGATTTAAGCTTCGGGACAAAGACTTCATCACGATCGAGGGAGCCTGTGTTGGAATGGTGCCGTCGGTGACTATATTTCCAAGAAAAATAGGGTACAAGGAGGGTAGAGTGGAGGATAAGACCGACTGTGTCATCGACCCACGGGTAATCACTGAATGCATGGTGACCGCATTCATGAGCAATGACCCAGACTCCAGTGGAAACGCAGCCTTGAAGGATCCAGTAAACAGGCCAAGTAAGGTAGCTGAAGGGGGATGGAAGTAGATGAAAGTACGATGTTGCAATGTAATAAAATAGGGAAATGAGAAATAGGTCATAAACAACATAGGAGACTGAGCGAAAGAGAGATCTCTTAAAGCAGTGGGGTGGGATGGCTTTCTTAATGTCACCAACTGTGAATGGAGGGTTAGAGCAAGGAACCCTTTTAAGGAGGTTCTTCTTTTCTTCGCCTCTAGTAGTCGGAACAGACATACGGCCTCCTGCTCCCATTTTCGTTCAAGGACTTGTTTCACACTACCTGAAAAACCAAAAATTTAGGTGAGTCAATAGTGAAGAAAAGATATTCATTCAGAAAGAAATAGAAGAACACAATTTATATCGAGAGTGAACGACAAAAGTCACATCCCAAAATCTAGTTAGTCAAATGTAAATTATAAACTTTTCCTGTTCCCTTAAATAGAAAATGTCGTGTTTAACATGTGCATCATATGCATTCATGAATCTATGATATCAAATGATAGAAAGGGCATAACTACCAAAAAGAAGAGAGAGCAACCAAGACATACAAGTAACTGAAATAAATAGAAGATAATCATAAATATCTTGGCTTTCCGATTATCGATTGGTTGGTTACCGGATTATTGAATAATGCACCAGATTGCACTTGCGTCTCCCTTCGATCACGACGACAACTTATGTAGTTATGTCAGTTTGCTTTTACATGAACAGGGCAAAGATGACTTAACCTACTCGTTGGGTAACCAACTCCTCAATACTAAATTTATTGTTCGCAAAGGAAATAAATTGGAACAAATTATATTGAAGGAAATAAGAAAAATAAAATATCAATTACCTTTTCTTGAAAAAAAAAAAGTAGTACATAATTAATAAATCCTAAGCTCCATAAAGGGAAGAATCAAATTCCATCCTCTTGTCTATCAAATATGATAAGGTCCTCAATAACAGAGTCCATCAAAATCGCCAAATCAGGAAGCAAGGTCAAAGCTTTACCTATCAATGAATTGGAGTATTACAACGAAGGGATAAAATCTAACCAATTGGTTGATAGTTGGACAATTTAAGGCACTGTTTGTTTCGGATTAAAATCAGATTTTAATTTAAGTCAAAGTCAAACAATCAATATTAACCACATCTTTCATGAGCCCCACAGTTTTTCAACCACACATTTCAAATTTTTTTATCACAATCTACTAAAAATCTAATTTTAATCCCCACCAAACACCCACTAAGAGTCACCAGAATTCATGTGAAATAGGTAAATAACTAATATTAGTAATTTCTATCCTTCTGGTTAGAATATTCCGTCCCTGGCCACATTATAATTGTGATGCACAAGAACTACGGTAGATAGTGACATAGCACCAACCTTGCCAAACTATTCCAGATTGATAATAGGGATTTGAAATACTAAAATTAATCATAAAAAGCAATCTGAGTTAGAAAAATAAGCTAAATTGGAAATGGACAATTCATTTGAAAATAAACAAACCCCCATTAAAGGAAATGTAAAACTCCATATTATTTGGAGAAATATTGAGAGTCTGTTTGTTTTGGATTAAAATCTGATTTTAATCCAAGTCAAAGTCAAACAATCAATATTAATCACATTTTTTATGAGTTCCACAACTTTTCAACCATACATTTCAAAAACTTCTATCACAATCTACTAAAAATCTAATTTTAATCTCCACCAAACACCCTACCGAAGGAAAAGATTTGATTTGGTCAACAAAAGAACGAACCCATAATTTATGGTGAAAATAACATAGTAGTTCCCACAAGACCCACACGCAACACATGAAAATCGAACAAATCAAATTCAAAATCATTATAAACACATTCAATTACAAAAAAGTGAGACTGCAATCAATTTTTCTCCCTCATTTCTTTCACGATTATTTTATTTTTCACACACAAAAAGTAGTACTTAACCCTGTTTGAGCCACATTATCATTTTTCTACTCTCCATCCACACATTTTTCAACTAAATTATATTTTCCATCACATCAATAATTTTTCATTCTTTTTCATCCACATATTCACCGTCGAATCACAAAAAAAATGCATTCTTTCCATTTTAATGTGCATCAAACACAAGCTCAAATTCAAACGCATAGAATTCAAAACATTACCAGAGACAATGTACCAACTGCTCAAATGTCAAAAATCCATTATTTTCTTCAACAATAGAACAATAATTTCACAGATCCATCCGATTTAAGAGAATGCTGCTCAATAAACATTAATTTTATTCGTATTCATATTGAAAATGCTGAAGACTAGAGGAAAGAAATGGTACCTGAGAGTCAGATTGCCCGTAGAATTCACCCGTAAAGCCCTTCTTTGTGAAGCGCTTTCTCTCTCTAAAACTACCTCTTGTGTGCATGCAATGTACAAACCTCCTCCTCGTACTAATATACAGCTCTGAGAAATGATCCTTCCACGCGTCGAAATGTGATTGGTTTATCACCTTTGTACCCTATGTAGATTTCCATTTTATAGAAAAACAAACTGTTCGTATATGTTTATTGAGGGTCGACACGATCTTTTAACATATTATGTGTCGATTTGTCTATTAATTGAGAGTCGACGCGATCTTTTAACATACTCTGTATCGATTTTTTCTAATTATTAAGAGTCGGTGATTGTTTAACATATTTTTGTATCAATATTCGTTCGAAGGTTTGTTTGCCGTTGGACATTTTTATGCAGTTTTCATTGATGGAAATAATACTAAAATGGGATAATTAATGAAAAATTAATATTTATCTCCTTTATTTTGTAGTTATTAATAAAATTAATGAGGTACATATTTTTTTATTATACCACTGATGTATGTTTGCATACGATTGGATATGAAATGACGAAAAAGGGCTTGCATGTCCATGCAAGAGCTGAAAGCGGGAAAATTTGGCAGTGGCAAAAATGACAAGTTGATAAAAAGATGAGTTCCTAGGTTTTAGTGTGCCGGCACTTGGTATCAGGGTATTTCTACATGGAATATTTCTCTAGGTTTTGTCTCCTCGGTTTGAATTTCAATTTTTTTCAATTTCATTATTAAATCTTAATCAATTTATTTTTTCTAATGATTATTTCAAAACATTAACTATAAATTAGAAATAATGAAACTTCTCTTTCTCGCTTAGTTTCGTAGATAGAATATTAGCAATTTTATTCGAGTATTTTTTATTTCTGATCTCTTAAAAAAAATAATCTCGGTCAAACATGTCCTTAATCAACTTAAATTAACCTTAAATATTTGATAACCAAACGAATTCCCAAGATTTGAAAGTCTAATTAACAAATCTCACGTGATTGAGATTTGACGTTCTCTTTAATTTTTGTTTATCTTGCCAACAATTTTGTCAACCTATATACATGACACCAAAGGTCACATAATGCCCAAAAATCCAAAGAAACTACTCAATATTATTTGAAGAAAAAGTCATGAAATATCTGTCTATTTTTGTGTTAATTTCATTTTTAATTATTGAACTTTCGATGAAATTTTAATCGGATCACTCAATTTTAATTTATAATAAAAAATATTGAATTTCAATTTACGTACGATACTATTTACTCTATTAGCCCGCTGCCACTGAATTTAACATCATAGTCCTGAGTCCCCATGTGAATGTTAAAAATTCATAGTAATTTATTGTGTCACGCGATTTTTCAAGTAAATATGCTACCTATTCATAATGTGGCCATAAATTTAGAAAATAAATCAATGATCAATGTAAAGAACTTGGAAATCTATTCATACACAAGTTCGAGATTGTGGACCAATGTGAAACAACTCTATGTTGATCTAGAAAAAATATTGGTTTCAAGTTCGAGAAAATTACAATTGAGGTTTCAAACTTTGAGCAATATAGAACTTAGGTCCCTATTAAATATATTTTAGGCATATAAGTCCTCGAACTTTCCATTTGAAGCACGTGAGTCTCCATTGGATAGAATCGGACCCATCTTACCATCGAAATAGAATATAGACCTAAGTTCTCTACTCTGCAGGGGGTGGAGTCTGGAAAAGACGTTAAGGGAGGCTAAAATTTTTATTAAAAAAAATCAGTGAACTCACTCCATAAGGAATGTTCCATGCAATGCCAAATATAATTTAAAAAGTTATATTTATTTTTAAGATGTCTTACTAAATCTTCGTAGCTTTCTTGCTAAATAAAAAATCTTGACACCTCCGTAGAAAATATAAAATGTGCGAAAGCATGATAAACATGAACAAATGATGTATACCCACCAACAAAAAATTAAGAAAAACATATTTGCACTATTACGAGACTCAATGCCGAAAAAGAACAACAAATTATTACAGTTATTAAAGATTTTAAATCAAAATACACTATTCTGAAAACATTATCTAATATGAGCATTAATCTTCTATATCAACACATTTTAATTCCACTTGGCCCCTGTTTGAGCAACATTATATTTTTCATTCTCATTCTTCTACTCATTTTCAGCAACACATTCTTCAATAAAATAAATTTTTCCATCACATCAATAACTTTTCCTTCATTTTCAATCACATATCTCCCTTCACATCAACCAAAAAAATGCATTCTCTCTACAAAAATGTCTACCAAATTGGGAAAAATCGACCAAGAATATCGATAATTCAAAGAAATTGGATTTATTTCAGTTTTATGTTTGACTTACTTCAATAATATAATTTTAATAATGTTAATTTATAAATAAATAATTTTTTAAGAAATATTATTTCTATTATAATGAGAAAACCTCTCATATAGAGGGATATCGAATCTTATTGAATATTATTGTGTATATTTGACAGTTAAAACATCAATTAATACAATTCTATCCTCTCATTTCGGTTTTATTTCTTTGAACTACAACAGCAAAAATAAGGTTGTTCATTACCTTTCACCTACCATATTAAATTTTGAAAGTGTTCTATTATTTTGAGCAAGAGATTTAGTGATTCTAAAATTTGGTTCATTTAAGAAATTAGGCTTGAAGTGGATAAATATTACACAAAAGGGATAGTGGGCTAATTTTAAATTTGGGCCAAAATATAACTTTTTTAACAAAAAAGTTACAAAGCAAAATAGGATCTGGGCCATGATTGTACTGGGTTGAAACCAACACTCAAAAATATTTGAAAATTAAGTACTTATAACTTACATACGACGGACGGTTTAAAAAAGAAAAAATATATATTGCATTAAGTCGTGTGTACTTAGTACTTGAAGTATCACTTACCTCGTCAAAACTCGCTCTGAGTTGCTTCCATATTTTCAGAATAGTCTAGTCTTGAAAAATAAAACACAAAATAAATGAGTAGAAATGTGTTGACGTACCAAGTATAAAGTGTTTTACGAAATCACAAGAATGGTAGAGTCGATGTATTGGAAAATTACATTTTATATTTTCACCTTCCATCTTAAGAAAGATATAAAACTACAACTAACAATAAAAAAAAAAAAAGGCTAAATGAAGATGAAATATGTGATGGAAGCATTTTGAATAGCTGAGAAATTAAACTTTATTGAGTATTTGTTTGTCGCGCTCTAATCCATCATTGAAATTCGAAGTATCGATCTCAAGATCGATGCTTTTGTACCATTTAGCGCATAATACGTAAATCACAAAATCTACGGTTGTTAATGCAGCAATGAGAAAGTAAAATCTTTCCATATGTCCAGTGTTCAAATCATTAGGAATCCACCCCGGGTTGCTGCCTCTTGCCGTAATTCCCATTACGATATTTACAAGCACACTACTAACAAAATTGCCAAGGGAAATCGACGCCATGCAAAGAGAGCTACCCAAGCTCTTTATACCATCGGGTGCCTGCCCGTGAAAGAATTCCAGCTGCCCCACATACATGAAAACCTCGGATGCACCAACAAGAATGTATTGTGGGATTTGCCAAAATATGCTTAAAGAGCTAGAGTCATTGTGTGATATTACCCTTTTCCGTCGTTCAATTTCAGTAACCCCTGCTGCAACCATTGCTAGCATTCCAATTATTAGGCCAATTCCCATTCTTTGAAGCTCCGTCAGTCCTTTCGGGTTTTTACTTAGTCTGCCAACTAGAGGTATAAGGATTTGGCGATAAATTCCCGTGCAAATGAGTACACTGCATATGTCAAAAGCGGACATGCTAGCAGCCGGAAGTTGAAACTTTCCTATTTTGGCATTCATCACGTTGCCTTGCTCGACGAAAAGTGAAGCCATTTGAGTGAAAATCACTGAATATATGATAGTGCATAGCCAAATAGGTAACATTTTAAGGATACATTTTGCTTCCTCAACTTGAGTCACAGTGCAAAGCCTCCATGGGTTTACTAGACCGTGTCGAGCTTCTTCTGGGTCGACTATTGCTGCCTTGTCCAGACACCTAGAGATTGCAACAAAATTGATATAATTACTAGTCCTTTCTTGATTTTAGAAAGGGAAATGTCAAATTAACCTAGAAATAAAAGACGGAAAAATTAAAAGGGTCAAAAAATCAATAAAGATCAATGTCATTTATCAAAAGTTGTGTGTTTCTGATATATCGATAATTACCTATTCTTTAACTAGCTAGTTGATCAAGCTTTCACTATAGAATTGTAGTTGAAAATAGTTCATTGGTGTTACTTGTGAGTCAATTGAAATGTGTGTTTGAAAATAAAGTTCAATAATTTATAAATTTTTCAAAAACGGACGCTTACTATTAGTACTTACGGAAATTCATTGGTGTGAAGAATTTTCCGACTTCCTTTGATTGCAGACTCTAATCCTTGCACCTCATACAATTCTTGCCCGGCAGAAAGAGTTACATTCCATTTCTTTGCTGCAGCAACAAAGACTTGTGCTACCCGTGGCACAGGGTTGCCACAGGGCTTAATATACCGATATCTTGGCGAGCCAAGCAAAAATAACACTAATGCTAGAACAGCTGAGCCTGTAGCCGCCCAAAACCCGAGTGTCCATTTTCCCTTGTTCTCATAGTAGACCAATACAGTGTTTGAAAATAACGAGCCTGTATTTAGTGCAAAATAAAAGTAGCAGAAGAAAACCTCCTTCGAAATCTTTTGTTTAGGATTTGATTCATCGAATTGATCTGATCCGAAGGTGGCTATAGTAGGTTGGTGTCCTCCATATCCAAAGGCCACCAAGTATATAGCTAAGTAGAATGCGGCCGAGCCAAATGCAGTCATAGGTACACATATTTGTTTTCCATCACCACAACCATCAGGTTTGATCAAGAAAATCCAAGATATCAAGGACAAAAGAACAAGACCCTGTGTTGTGATTCTTCTTGTTAGCCTAGATCACGAAAGAATTAAGCAAGAAAAAAAATCTAAAAATAAAGATTTACCAAAATGAATATCACTTGAAAGATTGCACAAGTGAGATAACGGCCCCAATACGAATCACTAAGGAATGCTCCCAATAATGAGCACAAGTAAACTGTCCCCGTCCACTTGCTCACATTATTGGCTGCAGAAGCATTGTCTTGACTAAGAACTCGGGTTAGAAACAAAACCAAATTCACCCCAACGCCGAAGAAAGCCAACGTCGCAAGTCCTTGATTTGCTGCACAATAGGGAGAGAGGGAAAAAAGAAGAAAAATGTCAAAAAATACGTTGGAACTTCTACTGGTACAGGTTAATGATAATATTAAGTACTAGTTACCTAACAAAAGAAATGCTGAACTCCATCCTCCTGTGCTTTTTATTTCTATGCAAGCATTCGTTTGATCCTCTTCCATAACACTGGCAACGTTCGTGTCTAGAGCTCCCTGGATAAAATTGGTAGGGGATTAGTTGAAAAGATTAAGAGATACTTTTTTTAAATGAATGTTTGGTATGCAATATTGTATAGGAAATTGGATCATCGAAATCGTTGGGCAGACCCTGACACTAGGAGCTGTTTTTCGAAATCATAATGATAAAAAAAAAAAGTAACTTAAAAATAAATTTAACTTATTTTTTTAGCATAATTAGGAGACAAACATAAGGTGGAACTGCAAATAATTACCAACCTTTGATGCAGTCTCCATGATAAATCAGGTAAGCTAGTCAATTGAAGTGAATCAAAGGTTCCCCTGTGCAACAGTAATGTACACGAAAACTTAAAGAAAGAAAATAGAAAGGAAATTACAAGAATAACAATTTAAATTACTGAAAAATGGCAATTCTGACCTTATTGGAAAAATGGAAATCACTGCTAACAAGTATTTTTTGAGAGAAATGAAGCTGAAGAGTTGTGTGGAAAATGAATTTGATACATACAATATATATAGCCATGCAAGAAAGGGTATTGAGAGCGACAACCTACGAGGGGTCATTCTTGAAATCATTTTCGCAGTTGAAAAATATACTTTTAGGATAAAAAAAATCAAACTATTAGTGGAAGTAAATGAAGGAGAGGTAATTTAGATGGAGCTGTGCCACAAATAGGTTCAGTCATTTCTTCATGATGAATCGAGAGTCCACCTTGGACGAACAAGTTTCCGAGGCTGTCTGACTTTGAAGATAAGAGATCTTTCCATTCTATACATAAGTGGATTTTACAACTATTTTATCGTAATACCTTATCTTCCTACATGAATTTACTCTCGTCTTTTAAAAATGTTTAATTAGGAATCTGTCATGTCATGTGCACAAAGTTTAGCTAACCTTTTTCGGAACTTGATTAGTGAAAGAACAAGGAGCTCCGGAATAGTGCCAGATTCCGGTGAATGCGATGATTGTGTATCGACGTTTACAAATGGCAACGTTGGTCGGAAAATTAATCGACCCACCGGAGATATATCAAGGCCAATAAAACTTGTTGTCATTTATGGTGAAAAATCCAATGAAAGAAATTTCACTGAATTAACCAGTCGAAAATTTGAGTAAACCCTAATGAAGATCTATAGAGGATGAAGTAAGCTGCTTGCTTATAGCATGAAAAACAATGTACTTAAATATTACTAGAAATTTTTAGTTATGTAACAAACTCCTAATAAAGCTCCATTTATTCCTCATCATACGCCAAATCTATGTTTGAATATCAAATTTTTTTGGATCGGGTGAATTTGAGATTTCTAGGGAGACCAAATCTCTCTCTCAATTCATAATTCATTTCTATCTAAGAATAAATAATAGCAAGAAATGGCCCATCTGCTTTCAAATATAATAATAAGTTTGTCCATGTTCCGTTTAATAGTAAGCCCCCGTTTGTCTCTCATTTTTCATCCAAAAAAAATGAAAAATATGATCGTTATTCATCACATCAAGCCATCAATTTTGAATTTCTATCTCTTATGTGGGGCCCAATAACGACTATGTTTTTCAATTTCATTCTACAATAAAGAAATACACACGGGCAAAATTGAAATCGAACCAAACTATTTAGTATATTTTTTTTAAGGATAAATCAACCACACTAGGTGGCACCTAGTATAGGAAATGACTTATTAAAAAAAGTAATCAATAAGCAGAACATAATTTCAGATGATATATACAAGATAAGGAGTGGTCCATATTGCCATTGTATATCCCCAATGACTTATTAAATCAAACTCTAAAAATCTGTCCATTCATGAAAATGTAGGATACGTTGTTTCCCACTTGGACCAAGTCGTTTTCTAGAGACTGTTGTACCAAATAAAAGTCCTAAAGTTTTCAATTTCCATTTTTATCCTAATTTAATATTATATTAGGGAAAATTATGTCCTATTTGGTATTGGTTTTAGGGGAAAAAATATATATTTGTAAAGTACGTTTGAAATTGATTCTAGAGCTCAACTTCTAGTTGTCGAACTATTGAATGATGAATGAAGAAAGGATGATAATTTCTGAATAACCGAAGGAAGAAGAGAATATGGAGCAGAAAAAATATCTCAATCTTATTTACCAACTCAACCAAAGAAGTAAAGGTTCCAACATAATAAATACAAGCTAAAATATGGAAAAGGCAGGAAAAATAGTTAAACTGAAATATCTAAACTCAGCCTTCAAACGTGAACTATGACAGCCAAGCTCTCCAGCTGGGTGATTTATGATCAGTGTTCTGTTACTCTCCCTCAAGATGGAGTGTGGGGATTAATCACACCCATCTTGGACAATGCTGAAAACATCAAAGAGGCCGGTATAGCTTTTGTAAAAATGTCAATCAGTTGATGAGTAGAACGAACTGGTAAGAGCTTTAGGGATCCATGAGTAACCTTCTGCCGAACAATGTGAAGGTCTATTTCGATATGCTTCATACGTTCATGGAAACTAGGATTGGAAACAATGTGAATTACCGCTTGATTGTCACAAAAAATCACGGTTTGATCTGTATGAAAAATCTGAAAATCATGAAGTAACTGAGTTAACCAAATTAGTTCACTAGTAGTGGCTGCTAAGGCACGATATTCAGCTTCAGTTGAAGATCTAGAAATGGTAGTTTGTTTCTCGACTTTCCAAGAGATTAAAGAGTTTTCAAGAAAAACACAAAATCCAGTAACTGATCGTCTTGTATCTAGACAAGCTCACCAATCCGCATCAGAAAAGGCCCTTAACCGAAAAGAACCGTGGCAGAGAACAAAATACCTTGTCCTGGACTTGCCTTAATATACTGTAACAAGTGATGCACTGCAAACAAATGTGTGTGCCTGGGTTGTGATACATATTGACTTAGTTTATGCACAACAAATGTAATATCTGGTCTGGATATTGTAAGGTAAAGGAGTCGACCAATTAGTCTTCTGTACATTGACACATCAGTAAGCAATTATCCTTCAGTCGAACTCAGTTTAAGTTTAGGATCTATTGGTAACACAACGGGTTTACATGCTAGAAATCTTGTATCCTCCAGCAACTGAAGAGCATATTGTCTCTGTGACATGAATATGCCCTTATGAGATCTGGCTATCTCCAGCCCAAGAAAATATTTCAATCGTCCAAGGTCTTTCAACTTAAATTGATTATGTAGGAAACAATCCAGAGAGTCAATAACCTTCTCATCAGCACCTGTGATAAGAATGTCATCTACATATACCAATAGAGCAACAAATGCCAGATCCTTTTGTAAATAACGAATAATTTGATTTGGATTGACAAAAACCATGCTCACAAAGGTAATGGAGAATTTTCAAACCACTGTCTCGAAGCTTGCTTCAGCCCATAAATCGATTTGTGCAACCTACAGACTAAATTCTCCCACTGAATTCTAGAACCATCATACTCTTTATAACCCAATGGCAAGTCCATGTAAATTTCTTTAAATAAGTCCCCATTACGAAAGGCATTGTTCACATCAAGTTGAACGATAAGCTAGTTCTTCATTGCTGCAATGGCTAGAAGAGTTTTCACTGTGACCAGTTTGGCCACTTGTGAAAAAGTTTCATTGAAGTCCAAGCCTTCCTGTTGAGTATATCCTTTAGTCAACAAGCGTGCCTTGTATCATTCTATGCCACCATCGGAGTTGTATTTTATTTTGTATATCCTTCGACATCCAATCGTATGTTTTCCATCAGGAAATTTTTCAATAGACCAAGTGTTAGTCATTTCCATTGCATCCAATTCTGCTACCATAACAGCTCTCCAATGATCATATTTGACTGCCTGATGGTAGTATTCATGTTCGAAATTGGATGAGACATTGAACAAGAAATGGCAGTGAGATGGAGAGAAAGCCTTATAAGAAATATATCTGGACAATGGATATGGTGAAGAATAATGTGGCTGTTGAGTGTTGGTCAGTAGATTACAGTGAAAATCTCTCAGATAGGATGGAGGTCTAATGAGTCGTTATGACTTTCTTAGAGCATTTGATGGCATAATGGGATCAAGACTTGCATCTGGGATGGGAAGAATTGGGTTTCAATTTGAAAGTGTGGATGAAGAACCAATATCAGGAGTGGGAATGGGTAATACATGATCAGGAAATGGATCAATAACATCAGAATGATGTGGAATGGTTTGAAATGGGAATATGTGTTCATGAAAAATCACATCACGAGAAATAAAGAAAGTTTTCGATAGGATATCATATAATTTGTACTCTTTGATCCCTGATGGATATCCTACAAAAACGCATGCTTTAGCTCTAGGAGTGAATTTTGTTCTACTTGAATGCAACGTGGAAGCAAAGCAGAGACTGCCAAAAACCTTGAGATGGCTGTAATCAACAGGAATGTTGTGTAAGAAGGAAAATGGTGTCTTGTTTTGTAGAATAGAAGAAGGGGTTCTGTTGATGAGAAAAGTGGCAATTAAGAAGCATTCACTCCAAAATTGAATGGGAACTTGTGATTGAAAATATAGTGATCTGGCCACATTGAGCAAATGTTGGTGTTTTCTCTCCACCATCGAATTCTGTTCAGGTCTTTCAACATAAGCAAATTGATGAATTACCCCTTTTGAGTGAAAGTAATCAGTGAACCTCAAATCTGGTGTATTATCCGATCTAAACTTCTTTATATTCTTTTGGAACTGAGTCTCAATTAGCCTAAAGAATTTGGGAATAATGTTGCTGGCTTCCTATTTGTTTTTCATGAGATACACCCATGTAAATCGAGCGTGATCATCCACCAAAGTAAGAAAATATCTATACCTTGAGTGAGAAGGAACATGATACGGTCCCCAAGTATCACAATATATCAAGTTAAAGGCATTGGAAGAAAAATTGTTGTTCAAAACAAAAGAAAATCTCCTCTGTTTTGCCAAAGGACAGACATTACAAGGAATTGAGTTATAATTTCCATACTTGTTACAAATCAAATGCAATTGATCCTTTAAA